TTGTTGAATAATTGGTGAAGCGTCCAGTAAAACCCCTCCACCCACTGGGCATGCTTTGCAAAATGCCACCAGCAAAAAGGCCCTCGGCCTTTTCGCTAGATATCAATGCTCTGACAGACGCGGCACCGGCAGAGTCTCCGGCGATTGTAACCTTTTCCCGGTCTCCTCCAAAGTACTTGATGTTGTCCTTAACCCATTCTAGAGCTGTGATCATGTCGCCAAAGCCATAATTGCCTATGTTCCAGAATGCAATGTCAGAATGTGACTAGGCCTCAATATTGAGAGTTGGTAGTTGTGGGAGGCGCCCTGAGACACCGGGCGAGGTTTTGACACCATACCTTTAATAGAAGTGCCCTCAAGAGCGAGATAACCAAACGATCCCAGTCTATAATTAATTTTGACAACGACGATATCACCCCTAGCTGCCATGGCGACTCCGTCATAGTTCCTGATGTTTCCGCTATTTCCAATGAATCCGCCGCCATGAATCCAGAATAAAACTGGTTTCAATTTTTTTCTCTTTGAGTCTGGAAGGTATGGAGTTGCGATATTCAGGTACAAACAATCCTCTTTACCTTGTTGGGGGACCTCCTCCCACTCTACGTTTTGCAGACAAACATCACCAAACGCCAATGCACTCACTGGGCCGCTAGCTTGTCGGACAGTGGAGTGAACGAATCTGCCAGGGAAGTTTGCGTATTTGATCCCGTCAAACCTCCAGCCGTATGCGTCTCTGAAGCCCGTGACTTGCATGGATCCCGCTGGGACCGTGACTTGGTACTGGGGTGAATTGTCGGTGAACGTGTAGTTACTCCACGCCCCTGAGTGGGTACACAAAGTAGGAAGCTTCCTGTGGCAAGGGACATTTTGCTTTGTCCCATCTACTCCGATGGCTTTGCAAGGGCCATGGCTTGGGGATTTTATCCAGAACAGCTGAGTTGGTGAATATTTATCAAGGTAAATCTGATATGCTAAGCTGCTGTTTACTCCTGCAAAGAAGTCCTGGGAATCTGGGGACCAGAGATCTTCAGAGAGAGAGGCGCAAGCTGATCGGCCGTCGGAAAATCGTTTCGCACTCTCCACGAGGATGGCAGAGGCCGACTTCGAGGATGCTTGGGCTACATTTAAAAGGGGTCTTTTGTCAGCAGTTAGATTCTCTAGTCACCACGGATGCGGTGTTCGAAGCACCTACCGAGGAAATCTTCTTCTTTTAGAATCGTGAGCGCTGAATCTAAACAAGATAGGAGAGGAGCAGCCGCTCCTTGACGGAGACAGCTGATAGCGTAGATAAACGCAAAAACGCTTGGTCTCATTGTGCCCGTAGAGGTACCCTCCGTTACTACTTCCTATTGAAGGCTTAACAATTGAAAAATACCATCCGGAGGAAGTTGATTGCCATTGTATTTATAATTTTTCAACTATGATGGATTAGTGAAGCGGGATCACGGCTAAAGTGCTTCCATAGTGTTAACCTGAGAAAGGTAGGTGGTGAGTATTGAAATTTCATACACCATGCAATTGCGCAAGCCACCGACACCAACCCTTTAGGAATAGAGCTATAGAGGGGACGGCCCGGGACGACGGACTAGGATCCGCCCTCTGGAAATGCGACACGTCGCCACCCATTAGCTAGAATTTGGATGCCAATACGCAAATGCAACCACGGGTACATATAACTATCTCTAGGCTAGCTAGTCTAGGTCATCTGCATTGCATCTAACAAGCTTGTATAAATTAGGCCTATACGACTAGTCCGAACCTACCATGGGACAACTACAATAGCGTAAAAGAAATTATATAATTATGCGGCTTATCAACTAGACGATCGCAGTCGCTAAGATTTTTCTAGTCTGAGACTCCCAAGTGTTTTCTAGGCAAGCCCGAGGCTCCACAAATTAGACTTTCTGGGGCGGCTGGGAAGGTGACTCCAGTGGTCAGATGCTTGAGCCGCGGATAGCGGAGTCGGATCTTTCTTCAACCAATTGGCCAATGGGAAACATTTCGCAAACAACGCCCTCGAAGGTCTGGGTACGAGACAAGCAAGAACCTAAAAATGACCATACCAAAATAAGTAAGTGGTGCAGCTTTTCACCCCTAAACTGGATCGGGTACCCAAAATCCTTTGAGAAGGTGTTGCATCTGGGCTCTGTATATAGTAGCTAGGTACCTAGGTAGTAAGGAAGGCTCGATAACGAGTAACAAGAGCGGCAGCAACGATACCTGGATAGGAACTTCGAAAATTAAAGCCGTGTTTCCACGTGATGACGAGTGGTGTTCAGTAACGAAAGTCCGACCTTCAGTGGTTCCGAAATTCGCAGCTGCCCAAAGGCACTAAGGAGGGTCAAGATGACCACCAGTTGGTTGGGCGGGATTTTTGTGAAGTTAACGCGCGGTAGACTAGTGAAACGAGGGGTAGATGGGTAAAAAAGCGTATTGCTAGCTACGCCGTAATTGTGAATTTTGGATGCAGAAATTCAGAGGATATACTTCTATCCTAGACCCGCCCGCATAAAAGGCATAGGACCTCGAGCCATGTGGGTATCATGGTGTGAAGCCCGCCCAATTCGGCTAAAACAATAGGGGTGTCATCACCAAACGCGTGGAACTTAGCTTTCGCCCCATGTACTACAGCAGGTAGCTGTGGGTGGCAATGAAGAAATTTTGAACCTTCTCTTTGTTGCGTTTGTACTCTCTCTCTTTCTAGTGTAAACATGTGCGCGGGTCTAACTGGACGAGCAAAGCCGTCGATGAGTTTCATCTGATCTTAAGTATTTCAAGTCCTATATATGATCCAGTTGTACAATTGTGCGCTTGGAAAGACTTAGCTAAGTTTAACTAAAAGTAAGCGCGTCACCGTTAACATATGTGACTAGGTACCTAGAATAACACCACCCCGACCCTGAGGCCTCCGGCTATATACCCCTCAATGTATATAACATCGACCATATCTGCCCCCTTCTTATCATCCAGAATCTGCGACTATTTTGGGCTTATCAGGCCATAATTGAAACGGATGACAACACAAGGCCCCTCCTCGGACGGCCGTCGATGGCCGTGCGTGGAATTCCACGAAATTAAGCCATAGATCTCCGCTCCGAGACACAGAAGACACAACCACGTATTTACATAGCATATATGGATATATATATTGGGGTCGTATGTCTTTCTATTTCAATCTAGTCTTTCCTATCCGACACCAAATCCCCATACATACGACTACCGAAGCCCTCAGCCAGTAGCTTTCTAATTCTATGCAATGGAGCCGCAAGAGGTTGTTTTATTTCTTGACGATGCGATCCGTTTTGCAAATACCGATGATCTTGCGCTTATGTTTCCGACCACCAGTTTTGGAAAGATGAATCCTCCGGTTGCGGACATGGTATTCGCCCAGTTGACTCATCCACATGCTCCCCCGGGGCCAATGTTTTTCAAGTATGCCGATCCTTCATCCAAGAAATTTGTTCCGCAGAGTCGTTAAGGTTATGGCAATAGATGCGCATACAACAATGTTACCCGAATATTTACGGTCAAAATGCCTTCTACGATATATCAAGTATGTGCTAAATGGCTTTTCGGGCAGTACTTTAACTGGAAGCGCCTAGATCTCCCGGATTCGGTGGACTCTCTGGAGCCAGGAGTACGCCTTGAAATCCATCTGAATTCAGGTAGGGGACTTTTTGTTAGATTTTGGCCTCATGGGTGCTGAACATTTAAAAGCCTGCGGGACTGACTCACAAAAAAAAAAAAATTAGCCTGCCGGGAGTTCTATTTCCCATATGAACACGCGATCAAACAACCAGATGGAATGATTAAGTTTAACACCGCTAGATTCCCGTCTATTGTGATCGAAGTTGGGTGGAATGAGGGATGGGAGTCCCTTCACAAGTGCCGAGACCTTTGGATGTATGGAAGCCAGGGTTCGGTCAGAGTCATCATTTTAATAAATTTTGCGGAAACCAGGAGGGATGTCAAAGGGGTCCTTGAAGTGACATCCGTCCGGGACGGTACTCTGGTGGCCCAACGCGCGGTACGTATTCACTGAACCCTTTGCTGAATCGAATTATTGAGTATCAGAGATCTAACATAATTTCCGTAAAGACAATTTGGCCAACCCCGACAGAAAAGGAAAAAAAGATTTTTATCCTCCTCGAAGAGCTTTATGGTTCATATTTGCCGAAAGATTTCGATCCGAAGCTCCGCCTAGAGCTTGACGTTTCAGATTTGCGTGTGAGAGCGAAAACACAGCTCGAGCAGATAAGCCCAGGTCTCATACCTATGGTTTGACGCTACTGGGCTAGTCCTTTTAGTAATGCAGAAAAAGTTAAAGGAAAAATGTAAATACATCGTAACTAGCCTTAGATAGGTATCAGTACCACTTCCCTATTTGGTGGTATTAATGATGCACTGAGGGTAGCGTCTAGTAAGATGCGAATCATCATACAAAGTTTTTAGACACACTGCGCCTCACTTCGCAGAGCGAAGCGCTCGGAACAGAGGAAATTGCTGTTCCATATCTCCTTCTCCGAAAGAATGGCCTTCATCATACAAATTTTTAGACACATATGAGTCAAAGTTTGGGACCTACCATAACTATAGCACTAGCGGGGTTAGGCCTATATCTCGGAAGTCACTTTCGAGGGGCTATGCAATGCTGGGAGCTTCATGATTTAGGTGAATGTGGTGCCCTCTGATTGATAGGCAGATTCTAACAGCCTTTCTATTTTATTGACATAACTACTCTGTAGTTTACGATGCCAAGAGATTGCTTTTGGCTCTATTCCATTTCTAGAACTAATTCCCGAACGCCCAGGGGTATCCCAAACCAATTCCTGTACCTTGAAAACAGAAACGAAACAATTTCGCAAGCGAAAGTATCCAGAGTCTTGGCCACACAACCCTGCATAGCAACACATATTTTATGCTTTAAGTATCGTAAAAGAATCAGCTTTTACAACAATAGTTGCAAGGACGATCTGGTTCAGTGGACTGAACCATTACACTCTCAGATGGTCCAGTGGCTAAGATTTCCGCCTGTCATTGGCCAATCACAATTGGCTAGCTCGCGGACGACCGGGGTTCGATTCCCCGTCTGAGAGAATACTTTTTTTTTGGTGCTCGCTTAGAACAATTCTGTTTTCGGAATCCAGTCCATTTTCGTTCTTACACGAAATTGTTCTCCAACACTAGAGATGGCGTCTTGCGCCGCACATTTACCCAACTGCTATATGCAAGTTCAATGTTTTTCAATGCAAAAATAAGCTGGAGCAGTTGATTCTCTGCCCACGCCCACAGATACAGGCATGCCCATTTTAGGTTGGAGAATCGATTACTTTTAGCTAGCTAGCTAGCTAGCTAATACATAATTTAACTAATTATATAATTAAGTATTCATTTAAGCAGTTCATAACGTAAATTTTAGTAAAAAAAAAAAAATACATAATAACTACACATATTAGCCTTAACTCAACAAACACAGCCTCAATCTCACACACTCAGTTACTTAATCCCTTCTGCTCTGAAAAGAGCAGTCGGGCATTTTTTGTACCAACAACAACAAGATAATCAACACGAGAACAAAATCGAGACAACAATAACGGCCTACAAAGTAAAGTTCTGTTCTACTTAGTTTCGGGTCGTGGATTCCACTAATCGATTGTCCCGAACTGCTAAAGTTGTTTCGTAATTTGATTGTCTACTTTGAATCGCGTTGATCCCCTGATTACCCTCACCCACAAATTCAGCGCGCAATACCTTATTACAATTGCTGCCGATCCTGAGCTAGTTTTCCAGACCTGAAAATTAAAAATAACTCACTGTTGTTTAAATATAGCTGAAAGGGACCTAGTTTAGTTAGTTTAGTTAGTTTAGTTCCTTTTTAGAATACATTCTACATTCCGCTGAGATTCTATTCTGTTTGGCCTGTTTTGTGGATTACCCTCCGTTGCATTGGTGTTCACACTTACACGACAGCCCTCGTCACAAGCCCTCCCCCACACGAGTACACTGGCACGCCAAAAACTCATTTCGTCACGAGGGGAGACCAGATTCCGGAATCAGAAATAATTAAACAGTCCAAAAATGTTCTCGCGGCTAGCCCCTCTGAACCGAGTACCGTTCCGATCTTTGCGTGCAAACTTAACTGGACAAAGACGCCGACCTGTTACTGATTCCGCTATATCCAATCTGTCAGTACAGGGAGCCCATGCTGCAATTCCAATAATTATAGCCGAATTCAAGAAAGCCAACATTAGAATTACGAAGGCAGGGGCCTATTTTCTACAAAATACATATGGTGCGGGAGTATCTTCCAAAGATATCAAAAGTTCATTTTTTTTATGGAGTGGTCTCCGCCAGGAGATACTTTACGGCACTATGGAGTTTCCAGATTATTTGTATACTAACGGGTCTGGAAGTTCGGTTTGGAGATCTCAGCAAACCTTTTACGCATGTATTGATTTTAATGTTTTTAAGATTTGGGAGGCACTCTACTCTCGATCTGACTTATTCAAGGAAATAATCGACAAAGACGAGGAGGAGAACGAGAAAATTGGGGTATATAGAGATAGATGGGGATCCCGTTTGCAAGACTATGTGCTGTGGGAGTGGCTTTCGCACATGCTTACTATCGGTATCATTGAGACGGCAGATGTCGACAATTTGCCTGAACCGTATAAACTCAAAGGGCCTCAAAGAAAGAGTGACGGTGTTGCTAGGGTAAGGGGTGATATGTCATCCGGGAAACATTAATGTATACTGGATATCTCTTCAAATTCTTCTAGATAACGCGCTTCGGGACGGTAATTCAGGATAAATTGTATTGTAGACCCGTCTGATTCAAAGTACATTGATAATAATTAAGAAGTATAAACTTAAAAGTTATTGTTTCTAATCTCTTAATCTTAAATAATTTATACAGTTTTATAGCTTCAGCAGGAACTTTGAATTGCTATGTAAGTAGAGGGGGAATATAGAATTTATATATATATATATAGAGGGAGGATATAGAGTGTATATATACATAGAGGCTAACCCAAATTTGCAAATGCATTGGAGGTTTGGTAAAAGTCCTGAACATTGGTAGTTGGTGTATGTAAAGACATAGACGCATGGCCCAGCGTGATCCGTTAGGGGGTCTGGGTACGAGACAAGTTGATATAGATTTTGATGTTAGATAATATCCCATAAACCCCCATATATCCGGATATCCATAGATTTAGCAGCACCTTATACATATGCTTAGAGCCACCAGCACCTTCTTCTATCAGCACATGTCCACTAATATCATACCCATTCTCACACAGACTATATATTAGAGGTTCAGTCGCCGCTAAGACAACAGCTCCAAGCTATAACTCGAAGAGCATGAAATTCGCTTAATTTGTGAGCTTCGAAAGAATAGGAAGATACGTGACACATTTTTTTGCAGCCGTCGGTATGTGGTGTAGTTTTATAGAATCAATAGCATAGACCATCTCGACTGGGGCAGCTGGTCAGTACTGACCCCGGTTGCGACCAGCAGGGGTCTTCGAGACTTTGACCCCGACGCCCTTGCCCAAAGGGATCAAACTCTTGAATTTAAATTTCGGGGAAATACCTATTACAGCGTTAGGCATAAAGCTACACAACATCTATTGACACAGCCATTATGCCGAGGGGTCTCGGCCGGCTATTTATTGTGTAGTCGAGAGGGGTAAATTATTATGGTAGTGTTGAAGTATCAATATGATTTGCGGTCATTATATACCATCAGATTAACCAGGTGTTTTAGCCCCTAATATGTGTTAGAACTATAGAATTGTATATTGAACCATAGTTTTGTTAGAATTGGTATTGGCCCGTTTTTTTGGGCAGGTACTTAACCCCAGAGGCTTTTTCAGTCAGGCAATTGCGCAACCGTTAACCCTTTTAGTTGGGCTGAGATCTACCAAGTTCGCGAATGGAATTGACACGGGAGCCACTGTTTCGCCGACACCGCATGCACATCGTATACACGCTTATCTTATCCCAACATTATTTTCTATCGCAGGGATTTATAGATGTCCATCGACAGCGTTTAAGAATACCATAGTGCTGGCAATTACCACTTTCAATTTAGAACCGTTATCAAAAGTTACGAATAGCCTTCCCGTGAAATATGACTAAACCGACTTCAAGAAAGCCGTTTTGTGGAAATATAACAAGATCGACAAGGAATATCGCATAGGCGTCGGCCTGGACGGGCAATCTCCAGCAAGATGTATTTATTAGTAGCAATTAGTTAGTAGCAATTAATCCGATATGATAATAATATATCAGTAGCAGTAGTAGTAGCAGTCCTGCTTCATTCGACTTCCCTGAGAGCCCCCGATTCCCTTACTATACGTCTCGTGTATACTATTAGAGTTGTATAAGCTCATGTTGAACAGTATACTTATATTTCCACCCCGCAATAATTATATAATGATGAAGACTGATTTGGTGAGATCAAATATACAGGCTGGTCGATGAATTCCTGAGAATTGTTGTTACTATCGATTTTACGTCCTACATTGTGCTTTCGGGGTACGAGACAATTCCGTATACATATTGCGCAATTGTGACACTGTAGGAGCAAGCTAGATAACCTACATCGTTTATTCTGTTATTTGTGCTGACGGTATTAGTAGTATATACAAATAGTACCGGAGAAATGTTTACCGTCAATTTGAAGCGTGCTATTGCGGTAAATCCAGCAATATCACTACTTTGGCCGTGTTTCAAAACTCCGGGGAAATATCTGACTAAGGCGGCTTCTAAATGCTACTCGAAATCAGCGGGACCACTGCCCAAACCTTACAAGATGATTTCACTAGACGGTATTACCGGCGACAATTGTCAATACAACGTTACTGGTAATCCAGTTGAAAACAATTTAGTTCAAGAAGGAAAACTTGGGAAAGTACTTCTAGATACAAATATTCTTAAATGCCTTGTGGAACATGAAACTCATACCTAGTAGATAAATAACTTTCTTTCAAATACAACCAAACTAGCTACATGCAAATCTGCTGTAATAAAATACTTAACTAGTCCAAGTATTATTCTTGATTTAGATTACAAGGTTATAATCAATCGACTCGCAAAAAAGGGGGTAATTGTTCTACCAAGAGCTTGCGCCAGCTCTGATAGCAGCGCACTTGCGTATCAAGTTCTTAGGCAGTCATATCAACGGCTCTATGTGGTGGCAATGAAAGCCCAGAGTCTAGAAGTTCGTGCTCGTAAGCTGCAAGGATCCAACGAGAGTATGTATAAACACCGTCTAAATGCATTTCTATCTAGTAAGCTAATAACTTGCAAATATTCAGCTTGGAGAGCTACTCTACAAAAGAGTTCGCATGACCTCATGTTGGCGTGTGAAGCCCACCGTCAAGGATACTCATTCCTCTCTCACGATGCCAAGTTTGGGAAGCAACTTGAGATTGCATTAACCAAAATGGGAATTACAACTTACCTAATCCCAAACTCGTGGACTGATTATAAGGAGGAACTTAAATCCCAGACCTGAAGACCGGGAGTGATTTCGCCATAGTCTTACTCCGAAACTCTTCCCCCATTATCACTTTATCTTCTTGGGTATTTTTCTTTCCTTTTGTTTTTGTGAATTCTGTAGCTCTTGGCGTCGAGATACAAGAATCCCTTAGCTTTTAGAATCGCTTGGTCGATTTCAAAATCTAATTTTGCGTACACTTGTGCTTTTACTTTGCGGCGTGATTTTGATGCGGATTCAGGGACTAACCGCAAGACTACGCTGATATTTAGTTTTAACATAGGAGCCATATAGGGTACTTACACGACCATGGCCACAATCATGCGGACAATTTGCCGAGAAATATGTATTCGCCCGCTCGAGAAACGTAAGTTCATCTTCAGACACGGAAAGAAGATGGGGGATGAAGCTAAAACGAAGGTATGTTAAGTGACTCTAGCTGAGTCTCTTAAGTTAACTTAATAAAGCATAGCCGAGTATCGAAGACATTAAAATTCCTGTAAAATTAAAATAAAGTGACGGTACGACAGCCAGTTGTACTCCCAAAGTTATTCCGAATTTGAGCTTTCAAAATGGCACAATCTAAGTGGA